GTGTAATGTTGTTCAAAAAACCGTTCAAACCGTTTGAACCGGTTTTATGAAACCAAACCAAACCAAACCGAACCCCCCCATCCCTATTCCCACCTCTCCTTCTGTTCATTGTTCTTATATTTTTCATTGTCCAACTTCTCCTCCAACTCCAACTCCTTCACCTCCCATTCTTCCAGTTTCTTTTTCGCCTCTTCATACTCTTTTTTTGCATAGTAATTGTTATAATTTATGCATAATTTCGACCAATGATAAATTAATGTGCACATGACCTGGAATTATTTACAAATGACAAAAGAAAAAATTATTTTTATTAATACAACTAATAATAGAAAATACATAAATAATTTATAAAAATGTAAGTTAAAGGATTGTCAGAGTGCTTGGATGGGAGGAAAATACTTGGATCCAAAGACATTTTTAAGTAAAGTATTACCTATTCTGACGAAATTCAGCTTTCAATATTATTATTGATAATATTATTACTAACATTTATATCCTCATTGTTTTTATTATCTTCTTCAACTTCATGCTCTATCTCTTTCTTCTTTTCCTTTTCAACCCATTGCTGAGTTGCTTCTATTATTTTCTTTCTGGGATTGGTTTTTTGTTGGTAGAAGTTTTTTATTGTAGAAGCAGCAATTTCTGTTCCCTCTTCAAGTAATTCATGAATTTCAATGGCCATTTTATTAAATGAAAAATTGGGATTTAACCCAGTCTTTTTGTCAAATAATTATTTGAAAACCTTCCATAGATTTTTGATTTCATGTGAATACTTTCTATCATCAGTAAGTTGGTTTATTTTATTTTTGAAATGGCTTTTTCTTGGTTCTATTTTATTGACTATTTGATCAATTTTTTGATTTATAATAGAGAATTGATTTTGATAAGTTTTATAGCGAAATAAGAAACCAAGAAAGAGTCCAATTAACACCCACAAAAAAACTCATTATTGAATGTAAGCATTTTTTTAAATCTTATTATGGATGAAAATACTGTGTAAATATTTATTGATTATTTGATTGTTTTTGAACCAAAAAAATAAAATTGTGTTTAATGATGATTATTAGGAGCTGTTATTTGAATAATTTTTTTTGTCCAGAAATAAATGTGTGAATGTTCAGATAATTTATTACAATTATTGAACGATTCTTAATGAACAAGTAATTTAATTGTTGTAAAATTACAAAGTTAAAGTTGAATTAATTTTATATCTTTAAATATTAATTTACAATTGTTAGGAATATATAAATAAATAAAAGAAAAATGAATGAATCTAATATCTATATTTGTGGGTAAGCTTATAGACTTCCTGAAAAGTATGATCCATAATTGAAAGATAACTACTTAAATAAATATAAAATAAACACAAATTCCCCAAATAATATTATCCATGTTCATCCAGTGGAACGAAAATGAATTTCTCCACATTACGAATATGGTAATAGAATTTAGGGCCAGTCAAATCTCCAAAAAAAATCTAGGGATTGTTACAAAATGGACTAGTGATTCTTTTACAACAAGGCGGGATTATTTACCTCATGTGCATAAAAGAGAAAGTTTCTTTCTTGTATATAGTAAAAAAAAATTAAATTAAATTAATATTGTAACAATGAGATTATTTTCCTTCTAAGGTTTTCTGCTTTTTGTTGGATAATAGCATATCTTCATTCTGCTTTCTTTTCCTAACATTTATTATTTTTCTTTCTTCTTGGTAAATTTCATAATAATCTTTTCTTTCCTTAGACATTTATTTTGAAAATATAGGGTGCAATTTTTTCACCTTGTTCCTTTTTAAAAATACTTCTAATGGTGCTGTAATTCTTGGGTTCCATAGTAGACCTGATGTAAATTAACTTCATATTAACTATTTTTATATAAAGGTAATTCTATATATCACATAATATTAAGAGGATAACAAATGGAAGATTTTAATATCACATTACTAAATTTTGATCATTGAAATTCTTGGTGATACCAATGTTCACTTTGTCTGGTTTTGTTGCAGAATGCCCCATATAATAATATAAATAATATATATGATAATTTAAATCTGTGTTACATTGTTTAAACCAAATACCCAGATTGCACATATCATTGCTTATTTTAGTAAAGTTCCAACTTTTTGTTCTTGTATGTTTTGCTATTTTCCTTTAAATATCTCAAAACTTTGCTAAGCAAAGTAGGCATAGTCATCAGGAAAATGGGTACAAATATTATGCGTATATAATACACAATTGCAGGGATTAAGCATATAATATGCATACAAATCACATATTTTTTTATGTATGCAAATTGTACATATATTATGCTTAATCCCTGCAATTGCGTATTATATATGCATAATATTTGTACCCATTTTCCTGATGCCTCACTAGTTCCTAAGCTAAAATTAACTCTTGTAAATAATTGCATATAAAAATGTTATTAACTCAAAATCAAGATTTTGCAGTTAGAGCTATTTCTATTTTCTGCATCCATATGTATTACTCTGGGTCTTGAGCTTCTTGTAACTTTACTTGGTATTTTGTGTTTAGTTTGTTTATTTTTGGTTAAGTTTTTGAAAGGTCTTTATGTTCAATTACTTATTTTCAAGTAAATTGGGTTGATTATTACTACATTAGGTAAAAATACTTAAAACCTAAATTTGAATAAGTTTCAGTATCACATAGAAAAAAAATTTCATTTTTACCATGCTTCATGAAAATATTGTAAAGAATGACTTTTAAATAACCCATATTGTAAAGCAAAAGAGGGCAAAGAACAATTTTCAATCTTTAGAAACTTGTTCAAACTGAGAATACAGAAAGTTCAGAAGAAGAATTTGATTCTGATGTATATTATAATATGGATGATGGTGGCTCACTCCAAGTAAATGAAATAAATGATGATACTTTAATCAAAAGTTTTAATTGATGATAATATTCTCAAACTATTGGGAGATAAAAATAATATTTTGATCAGGATGATATTATTGAAAAATAATAATTAGTCATATTTTAGTTTTCTTGTGGGTAAATTTTGAGATCATATTTAAAGTTTTCTTATTGTAAAAATTTTGAATTTACTTGTTACCTCTATATGGATTGCTCTGCAACCAGTGTTGTGGCCCGAAACAGAAACTAACAGAAACCACCCGAAACTAGTTTAGGTTAGTAGTTTAGGTTTAGTTTTAGGTTTAGTTTTAGTTTTAGTTTTCTGCTTAGTGTAAGTTCATTTTCCAAAATGTTTCGGGAAGCCAAAAGAGTTTCTGTTCACAACACTGTCTGCAACCTATTATAATTATTTAAAATGACATATTTCATCAAGTAAATGACAAAAAATGGTATAAATTTAATAGTTTACCAGTATCTGAACTTACAATCCTTCAATGAGTTAATGGGTGTCAAAAGGACTGTTTAGAGTTTCAATTTAAACAATTAATTCATTATTTACATTTAATTCACAACAATTATAGATATCAAACTTAATCTTCTGCTCTAGTGAATGAATCCATGTATACACATAATTTCCTTGCTAATTTATTGCACCTAAATATATTAAAGACTGAAACATTGAACAATCAACATTGCGAGCGTGTAAATTCAAATACTACAGCTCGGGTTGTGTCCAATAAATATATAAGATAAAATAAACAAAAGTCCAATAAAATATAACTCCCTGTATCCGCACACAGCTCAGGAAGCCCACTAATCTATGTTTCAGGCCTCTGGTTCCCAACTCAGAGCCTACTCAAATCTCTATTGCGCAATCTCTCTCTTGGCCGTACTAATAGAAGTACCGGCTGGCAAAAGCCTAACAATGATAAATAAAACTCCACTGTCTGACTAAGGCGTCCCTTAGTTAGTATGGTCTTAATTTAAGGTGAGGTATGCTTTTCAGCAAAGGTTTAGAAAGGTTTTAGTAAGAGTCAATTTATTGTAAAAGTGTTATGTGTCTTTATTAGCGATAATGTTATTACAAGGTTATTATTATTTTATTATTATGATTGTATCATGAACATGATGATTTTGACTTGGTCTAAAACCAAGCTCTTTTATACCTATTGAGGTATTACAAATAACATGACCTTTACAATGTTTTGTCCAATAAAATATGCTTATTAATCCTACTTCTGTAATACTAGCTTACTAATCGTAAATTACTAATGCTATGACTCACAGTGAGTAATTCTATGAGTCATGATTACAAATAATTGAATTAATAATTCAAAGTAAATAATTATGTCATAAAACGAATTAAAAATACAAATGACGTCATGTGTAACACTGCGCAATGTGTGGCGTAGCCGTTACACAAAATACTAAGATAAAAATAGAAATGATGTCATTATCACGTGACTGCCGCAGTAAGTTGGTTCCGATTGATCGACATGTTCGGGACTTCCTCAGTCCTCATTTACAATCTCACAACATCTTTAAAGATGTGCAAGGTGCTAATGAGTGGCCTGATGTAAATGAAAAATTACTTTACATTAACCCAACTTTATGAAATTTTTTGTTGAGTTTGGTTATGGTTCTTTTCATTATAATCATATTGAAAATGTAGAAGATGATCAAATCAATCTAGAAAAAAATGCACTAGATAGGAACTATAAAAAAAATCATAACCATCCTGTATATTCCATTTATATAGCAAATATCTATATGTGTATTTTATGGATTTAAAATATCACCTTTTAACTCAAAAAGTACTATTACATAAGTTTCATATTCCACTTAAAAGTTGCTTGCCAAGACCTCTTAATGACTGCTAAAACTCTGCTGAAAATCTAATAAACAAACTTTGCTGATTTATTTCTGGAGGGAAACCATAGATCCACTCTATAAGAATGAACTATATATGGAAATGCTGGGATTTTTGTGAGATTAGATCAAGACCAGACAGTATTATCCCAATGTATGAACAATAAGAAAATAGTAATGATACAGAAATGATTAATCCCAATATTTTTAATACTTTTGATACTCCAAAACTAAATAATCAATTGGCAAATACAGTATTATTCAAATATATCAACAATCAGGAAATAGAGATGATATAGAGGTAATATTCCAAATATTTTCATATTCTGGGACCAAAGGAATCAACTAGTATATACATATATTAATTCATATTAATTGTTATAATAAAAAATATATATTGTCATTCATTTCTCTTACTATTACTGTTTTAAACCCTAAAGTTCTAATACCAATAGTATTGAGGGGGACCTTGGGCAATTATATTTGAACTGGTATGCAAAGGACATATAAAAGGTTGTAAATTCAACCCAAAAATTAATGTGATTTATATCCATTTTTAACATAATTTTATTATTGTCCACTGTAAGTGATTTCTTATTTTCATCCTTTGTAATAAAAACTAATCCAATCAAATTCGGAAACTTAGTCATGTGAGTAAGATATCACGTGAAACTGACTATAGGGGCCATTTTTGATCATAACATATGATCACATAAGTAGATCATTCATTTCAAGAAAAACCAAATAAAATAATAAAAACCTAAAATCTAAACCTCTTTGGGTCTTATTACAAAAATTTGTGCCTTTGCTTTGTAGTGAGTCATAAAAAATCACTCAATATTATTATGATCTTTTTTTTACCAATTATGGACTCATTCAACCAATCCCGAACATTGTTTAACCAGACTTTACCTGTAAATAATAATATGACCTTGTATCTATCTATTTGTTGTTAAAATGACTATATTAATATGCTAAGACTTTATTTTCATCTACATTTTTTTATATAGAATAATCCTTAATTATACTCGGGCTAAGTGATTGACCAACTTAATGCTTATCGCGACTTTATATCTATTGACCGACTCATCAAATATCGTTATTATCCATTTAAGTAAAATTAAATGGTTATTACCGACTTGTGTAAATTTAATATAAAAAGTGTTATTGAAGTTTTAGGTAACCTACTTACCTATGTAGTTTCCTGGGTCCTCTAAACCCTGAACCTTCTTTGTGAGGCAATTATAATTCACGTGATTATAGTAAAAATGAATGATGTAATTTGTTTTTACTGCGAGATCTTTCTTTACGTCTCTATGATAGTAAATACATTTGGCATTTCGAAGGAATCAACGATTAATAAAAAAAAAAATAAAAAAATTAAATTCTTTCCCAAATATTTCAAATATTTTCAAATATCACAAATGATAGACTTTGAATTGACTATTATAGATTTCATGCATCATTATCACATCATTATCTCGTGTTTACACATCCTTTCAGCTGCTTCCATACAAATAACTTCAAGGTTAAATTAATTCTAGAACATCAAAACAATTAGTTACTAAAAAATAGGCAGAGAATTTATTAAATTCACGTTTTCAAAAGTTTTTTTTTCAAATCATTCATAGCAATCATAATATTTAATAATAATAAAGAATAATAATAAAATGTCGACCAAAGTCTCTGATGCTGAACAAAAATATAAAATTGTTGATGAAATTTGTTCAGAAACAAATTTATATTTAATTCTTGGCGTTGAAAAAACATGTTCATTAGAAGAATTAAGAAGAGCTTATATTAATGTTGTTATCATTATTACCCTTATCATTATTAATTATAACTAATTAATTTCTTTTCTCTCTTACAGAGATCAAGAATTTGTCATCCTGATAAATTTCCGGAATATCCAAAAGCAACAGAAGCATTTCAAAGTAAGTTGTAAATAAACAAATGTAGAAACTTTTGGAGCTTGGAAATTTATAAACTAATTAAACAATTATTTATCTATGAAATAGAACTTTCATATGCTTACGAAACATTGAATAAGTCATCTACAAGGCGTGCTTATGATATATCAGGCACAAGTAATTTAGGTAGCGTTAATGGAACAGGCGATGACACATTACATGGTGTTTTATATCAGGTATTTTTTTATTTTGGAGAAAATAATAAAAAAAGTTTATAATGACAATTACTATTTTTTATCTTGGGATGAAATTAGTTGTTTTTGGAGTTTATGGATGGCGACTTTGAAATGATTCGTTCTTTAGTTAGTAAGTAACAAGTTTATTTAAATTATAAGTTATTTATTTTAATAATTGATTTATTTTTAAAATAACATTAATCTCCTTCTCATATCATATAATTAATTGTAGATGCGTTAAATGAAGGCAATCCTGAATTAAACTTAGGTGAAGATACAATTGAAACAATTGAAACTGTGTTCAGAGGAATGAGAGAAACACTTTTAGGTAAAATAATTGTTTTTAAAAAATAATTTTCTCACCACTATCATCATTTTAACTAATAATCATCTTTTAATATATATTATTATTATATTATATAGCTGGTAAAAAACATGTTAAAACTGTACAATTTGAATTGATTAATATATATGAACTCCAACAACAACTTCGGTCCTTATCATATCTTGATATTTGGGGTCGTATAAAAATAACAATGCAATTGGCTCGTATAACGTTGACTATACCAATATTGATTGATTCAGCGATGAAAGCCGAATTTAAACAATTAGGTGGTAAAGGTATCATCAATAAAGGACTTTTAGGTGATAACATGGCTAAAGTTGTCACTGGATTGGTTACTTGTTTAGAAGCGGGTGAACAATACATATAAATATATATGTATTTCTTTCCTCTTCCCTCATCTTTCAATTTTTTCTTTAGCCAACTTAATATATAAATTAATTAGATATATATATATATATAGATATAGATATAAAAAATATAAATTATTATTTATTATTATTTATTGTTAGTATTGTTATTAATTGTTATTATTATCATTTTTTATATATATATGTTATAAAATATTCAACATTAATGGATAATGATGCATCATTATTATCGTGAAATAAAAAAAAAAGAAACAAATTTAATCAACTTTTATCGATATGTTGTTGATAAAGGTGTATTTTAACTCACTACTTTCGGTAACAAATATTTTCATCGTTGTGAACTTTGGCCGATACTTTTTTTAATAAATGTTTGGAAAGTAATAAGAACTAATCGTGTTTCAACGAATTCACGTGACAATATATCGACAAAAAATTTAATTTTAAATTATAAGATGCGATTAATAATAACTCGCATTCTAACAAATCATGTCGTTATGAAAAAAGTTGTAATTCAAGGCTTCGTTCTAAAACCCATCCAAAAAGACACATAACAGCGCAGTTTCGTAAATTATTACTGCATTGCGTAAACCTTTTTTCTCTATCAATCAATCTCAATCAATTGGCACTGGACGCTCTCATCGGCTAAGATAAACAACAAAATCATGATTAAGATAATAACTAGAGGAGGGATTTTCTGAAAAACATAGACCAAATTGTTTGCCAGTAACCTCACATGAAACGACTACGCCTTTCATTATGGTCCCAATAAGGTCGTCGCAAGTATAAGGGAACACAAAAGGAATGAATAGGAAAAAAAGGTACGATTTAAGTCAACATTGTCTTCCAAATTAAACAAAACAAAAGCGTGTGATATTTCACTCTCGAAATTATCAACGAATTTCTATACCCAGATTTTCGTGTCTAGTGGGTGGTACGATGACCACGAATGTAATTCCACTGACACTATAGTAAACGCGTGACAAAAATCCTCTTTGACTTTTCAGACGATTTTTTTCTCATTGAAGTCTATATATATATATTTGAACCATTAAATTTTTTTATTTAATATTAATACTATTTTTGTATGTATAAATATTTATATGTATGTAATAAAAATGATAATTATGATGATATGAATAAATGAATTAGAATATTAATAATGAATATTTTGCTTATAGGAAAATTAAAATTAAAATTAATGTGTTGATGATATATTAAAAATATGTAAAATTAAAAATTATGCAAATATGAAATTAATTAATTTGCTACCGGGAGTCATAGATGGCTCTTTGTAACTATGTACATAAAAATCAAAATTATATTATTATAATATTAATTACCATTCGAAAAATCCTATTTTATAAAAAAATCATAATATAATATAAAGCATAAAACTATATAAATAAGATATATATAATATGTATAAATATATTAAAATTAGAATAGAAGGAAGGAAAAAAGCATAAATTTTCAGAGATACTAATGCCCTAAATAATAATAATAATAATAATAATAAATATCAAAATTTTGTTTGTATAATTATTTTTTCTGCTTTCTTCGTTCCTTCGAAAATTATTATTCTAATGATAACCATTTGTGGATTTAGAAACTTTATTAGAAATTTTACTAAAATTATCAACATCGTTATTTTCATTCTCATCTATCAATGATTCAGATTTAACACTTTGTGACATCAATCGTTGTTGATGATGATAATTTGGGGGAGGTGATAATAAGTATTGTTGTTGTAAATGCGAAGATGTTGAAGACGATGACGATGTAGAAGAAGATGATGATGATGTGGTAGAAGAAGCGGAGGAAGGATGAGGTGGTTGATGTTGTTGTTGTTGATTTTGATGATGCTGTTGCTGCTGCTGCTGTTGTTGTTGCAAAGGAGGATGTGGTAGTTGTGGCGATGTTTGTTGTGGTAGTTGTGAAGAGGAAGAAGGATATTGAGAACGATCATCATCGTCATCTACCCATCTTTGCATAACATATTTTGTACATTTTTCTGCTCCAGGCAATTCCTACGTAATAAGGGAGTGTTAATGTAAAGATATATGATTATATAAATAATATATAATAATATGTATTACTTGTATGTATTTTGTGATTCCTAAGTGACTCAGACCCAACATTTCAGGACCACTTGCATGAGTTTTTGAAGGAACGCCTTGTACATTAATTTCATCAAGGATTTTTTTCCAGACACCGCTTGACGAACTTGCACTAAACTTACGTCCTGGTTGATCCTCTGCTGTAATTTGAAACTATAACATTAATAATATTATTAAAGAGAATGAATGAGTAAATTAATTGATTGATTGATTGATTGATCGATTGATTGATTAATTAATTAATTAAAAAATTTTAAATTCCTCTCTATTTCTATCTCATGTTTCTCTAACTCTCGCACATATATATTCATATTTTATATAATTACAAATAATAAACATACAATTGGAGTGTCACCACCATCTAAAATTTCACTTGTATAAGTTGTCCTTCTAGTAACATCAACAGCACTTAAATATTGTTTTTTACTCATAAAACCAACAGGAAATATATAACGATTAGTGTGATAAGCTTCTCTATCCCATACAATCTCACCTAATATAAAGCAATTAATTATATAGCATAATCAATCAATCAATCCAAAAATCAATTTTTCAAATAATAATAATAAATAATTGTTGTAATATAAGAAGAGTAATATAATAATTTTTTATTACGAATCAAAATATTATATATAAATTTATTCATCTATATCTATATATATATATATTTATTTATACGTATTTTTTCTATTACATTCTATTAATTTATAGATATTTATATATATATATATACATACTAAATATTAATATTAATTAATTACCTATTCTATGAATAGAGACTTCGTTGGTTCCTTTACCAATTGTTACAGGTAATTTTAGCGTATCATCAGGGTTCATAGGTAATGGCTAATTAATAAACATGTATTATATTATTATTAGATATTACATTATGTGTTGTATCGTTATTGGATATTTTGTAAAAATAAAAAAAATACCTCAATTCTCTTGGCATCAGTACGATCGTCACGCTTCTTCTTCTAATTTTAAATTAGATTTGCCAAGCAAATTTAAAAGCAAATTAAGTAATCGCCCAATTAATAATAATAATAATCATAATAAAAATGATAGTGATGATTAAATAATAAACTTACAACAGTTGTTGGTTTACGGCGACGTTTTTGTGTTTGGGCTTCCTCAACAGGAACAGATTCTTCAGCCTACAATAGTCCGTAATAATCCAACAACATAATTATTTTAATTAATAAATTAAACATCAAGAATCATGGTAAAGATCAGCGAGGGAGAAAGTGAGAGAACAGAAACACTGACTTTACGTTTACCGGAAGATTTTGTAGATGAAAAAGACGCTGTTGATGGTTGTGGTGGTGATGGGCGTGTTGTTGTTGTTTTACGGGCAGATGATGACGATGGAGATGTCACTTTTCTTTTACTTTCTTTTGTTAAATTTTGCTTTGGTTGCTCTTTATTAATAAAAATAATGAGAAGGTGATGGAAGATGAATTGGTTGGTTGATTGGTCAAAAATATTAAAGATGATGTCATCAATTATTATTTATACCGTATTTATTAGTAGCTTGCATTGGAACATCTTCAACATCTTCAGAAGTTGCATCCGATAATAATTCATCAGAAGAACTGCTACTATTATTAATAAATTGATTAATTGATATGTAATACACGATTAGAATAATAGAGACAATAATAGTGCTTACTTTGATGCTTCATCAATCAAATAAGGATTCATTTCCATCATCAGATCAATCAAACGACTAAAAATAATGTATTAAATATAAATAAATACAAAGATGCATATATATATATATCTCTTCCTCGAATGCTTACTTATTTTCTTCTTTTAATCTTCTTGACCTGTGTTTATTGACTTCTAAACTATGTTTTAAATCTTCCTTTTGCTATGATTAAAGAGTAAATTAATAGGGAAGGAAAGAAAGAAAGATAAGTGTCTCCTTTTCTCGTACATAACACTTAACATTTATTACCTTATTAAGATTCTCGAATTTTTCTTTTAGTTTGTAGTATTTTTCTTTATAAGATCGTGAATCTGTCATATTTACTAAAATATATATATATGGGTTATTGTTATAATGATAATGAGAGTGATAAAGTAGTAAGAGAGAGTATAAAAATTGAAAAAAAATTTTTTAAGGAAAAAACAAAAAATTTTTTTTGTTTTGCGAGAGAAAAAAAATGTGGAGAAAAATATTACTTAAATACTAAAATACCCAGAAAATTAATTTTGTCAATAATAAAAAAAAATTTTTTTAATATGATCAATAATGACGTCAGTTTGTTAATTTATTTAAATTTAATATTAAAAAAAGAATGAAATTTAGTTAATATATTTGAGAGAAAAAAAAAAAAAAAAAAGTTAGTTTAAGGTGACACAAAAAGTCACTTGTTTGTCGTCCGTTTTTAACAAGTATTATTTATAAGAAAAAATTGGTTGTTTCTCTGGTATGTTATATAATATGTAATCGGAGTATTTACTAATATTGGACAGGAAAATGAAAATAGAAGATAATGGATAAGTGTGTATGAAAGATATGAATAGATAAGAGATAGATAAGAGAGAGAGAGATTTAGGAAATACTGAAAGAAAGAAGAAAGAAAGAAAAAGAATGTGTTGAGTGAGGGAGAGGATAGGGAGATGAGAAGGAGAGAATATTATTTTATAATTAATTGGGAATTAATTTATATTGTTTGTATTATTTTACTTTATTGCTCTGATCTTTATTCTTTTGATGGTTTTTTTTCAAAACAAAGCAACAATAAAAAAAGAAAGCAAAATTAAAAAATTATTGTGAATATAAATATTATTAGTTATTATTATTTATTATTTATTATTTATATATAAACATGTGAAACAAAATATTGACACACTTTTATTTCAGTATCTCTCTCATTCATCTTCATCTCAAGAAAAAACTTTAAAAGTTTGTGTTACTACCTATGCAAAGGAAAAATTATTCCCCTGCCGATACTTATTTAAACTATTTATATTAAATTAATTTTAACTAGCCTAGAAAAAATTTTCACCTCTCATTCTCTTTCACACTCTTTATCTTTCTCTCCCGCCTTTCCTTTCTAAATTTATAATTTCTTTCATGCATCCGTCCATAACTTAATATAATATGTCCACGCATACATTCATACATGCGCGCATACGCGCGTAATGATATATAATATTACTAATGTACATGCAAGAGAGAGAAGGCGAGAGCAAGAGCGAGAATCAGAGTGAAACAAAATGTGATAGATAGAAGGTATTTAAAAATGATTCAACGGCAGGAGGACTCCATATTAAACTATTTTATCTTATGATGTTCTCGGCATTTCTGACGTGTGTGTGTCAAAGAAAATCTCGGGCATTGCTTTATTTATTTACTTTGTCGTTTTCAAGACACCTACACTGCCTGCTGTGTGACCGACACCAGGCCAGCAATTGAACCATTGAAAAACGTATCAACTCGCATCCTGCTAGGAAACCGGTCGATCTGTCGGTCAGCCAGTCAGTCATCCAGCCATCCAGCCAGTCAGTTAATGAATGATTCTACTACGTACCTATAGTATCTTTTCCGTATTGAGATGACGACGACCAATTATTTTCTAAAAAAGAGCCTTTTGCCATAAAGATCATTATAATAGAAATTTTTCCACGTTGATCATAAATGAGAGATTGTAACCTTGAATGTTATGTACAACTATGTTCATTGTGTATTATTTCCTTATATTTAGACCCTTACCATAAGTTTAATTTATAATGTAATACAATCTTAATTAAAGTTTTTCTTTATTATTAACAATTATCAATCGTTAATAAATATATGCAATCATTACTCTATCTATTTATCATTTGTTCATATACCAACTTCCAATTTCATCATATTTATATTCATTCATCCATTCAATTATATAAATAGAAATAAACCAATCACTGCTGTCTATTTTTGCTCTATTCTTTCTTACTTTCTCTAATACTAATTCTTTCTTGAATTTTCAGGAAAAAACTCAAATAATAAATAAACAATTCCTGCTTATTATTTATTTGTTATTAGTTTCTTTTTAAACCTAATCCTTAAAGGAGGATTCTCTCTCCGAATCAAACTTTCTTCATTAATTAACTGGATTTTACAAGTTATATCTAATGTAGAATGAATTAATATTATTTATTTATTGATATACATGCAGACAAGTAAACAAGCAGAAAACAAACAAACAAGCAAGCAAACAAATAATAACAAAAATAAAATTAACAGAGAAATTATCAATTAATTAATAATATTAATTAATAATTTAATTAATAATTTAATTAATGTTATTAATTGATTGATTGATTGATTGATTGATTAATTGATTAAAATTATTAATTATAAAAAGGAATGAATTCAAAATCTTTTCTTTACTTATTTACATTTTGTGTTTGTGCTATATCGAGAAAACTTGACGTTTATGCTAACTGCTTGTAGTGCTGATTTCCAAACTAAAGAATTTCGCAACTGTGCGAAAGTCAAAAGGTCTCGCCATAGTTTTGACTTTTCAACTTTTGACTTTTGATTCAATAATTTTAGTCGACTTTCGCCTCTCCCAAAGTAGTTTTGGCGACCAACACACTAACTGCTTGACAATCAATCAATTTAATGTTATTAGTAAAATGAATCGCGCGGAAATTAACAGCAAAAAAATTGTTGGTTGGTCAACAAAATTTGCGAAAATTCCAATTTTAAAATTGACTTTTTAGGAAGGTGATAAAAAGTCGTGATTATAGAGCTTCCGCAACATGCAACAATAGACATCGTTATTAGCATAATTAGGTGCTATATCAAGATCCCGGATTATATATATTAATATTATTATAATTTCAAGATGTCAAAAGGCAATACACCATTAAAAAAGAAACTTTTCAATATGTGATGTTTGATTACCATAAATTAACAGACGTTAAAGCATGCATGCTAACTTGAACATTACAGCCATTCTCATATGTCCCTCATGTACACAAGGCTAATCTGACCACGGTGCTCCTGATGATACAATATTACAACCAAATTCTAGGGAGGGGCGCAAGGCCCTGAGATGTGATGTAAAATAGTAATTTTTTTAATACGATAATTGTGATTATAGAGGTTCCGCAAAAAGGTCATTTAATATTAAGTGGCAAGGTTCTAGAAGATTTTACGGGGATCAAGTGTTGAAATCGTTTATTATTCTTTTTATTGATATTATCATAATAGTAATAGTAGTAATAATAATAATAGTATACTACTAATACTAACACAAACACCAATGAAAGGAGATCTTCCATCAATGTGGTTGGTTGTTTGGCATTTTTTTTAATAGTTGTGTGAAACACGTGGGTATAGCTGTGAACACATAAATTTCCAGGGTAACAATCAGCTCACTCAATGGCAACATAGTCCCTTGCAAAAATTAGTAATTAAAACTCTATCACGTCAAATATTTCCATATATGCATCCATGTTAAAGAGGATTCCCCAATTCGCATCACTTGGAATTTCCATTTTCCGACTCATAGCAACCAGGGACAACATTGTAAATTTCTGTTTTGTTGCTTTCAGCACTTATATTTGGATTGACTAATAGTTGTAATAACATATCCTTCTATTTAGGTATCCACAGACACATAAAATCCCACACCATTACATTACCACAGCTGCTGGCCCCTCCAATTTCTTGTTTCAATTGAATCTTGAAGATCATAATGTTGGTAAATATCGAGTTATTATTATTATCAAGTATAACTGCATTGTTTCTTATATTTTATCCAATTGATTATTTAGGCTTTTGCTTTTCATTTGTTCATTGCTTGTTTTGTAATTTCCTTTATAGGAGCTTTTCCAATAAAATTTAAACAAGCTTGATTAGTGTCTATATAAAATCTTTCGTGTTTCATCTTTGGCGAAAATACTTATTCCTTCTTAATAATTTCAATGCGTCACTCATTTTTATCTTGATAATTAATATTAATATATATAATATAATATAACATAATATAATATAATATAACATAACATAATATAATATAATATAATATATATATGTAAATGTAATCAGTATGCTCAGTGATTTGACCAATATTTATCATATAACTAACTACCGGTATTAGCGATTTAAAATGATAATGGTTTCTCATTATAGTTGTTTTCCAGATTGGTTTTGAAAAAAAAAAGCGATTATTACTTTTCAATATTCTTTACATGAATGAGCATAAAATAACTATGCTATTTGATTTTTAGATTAAAGAGTTCAGATAATCTCGGGAGTAATTCTAGCAACTGTTATTATATTAAAATTGATTCGGCAATTGTTAATATTCAAATTCGGCGATTATTATTATCACTTACTAATTACGTTTTATCTATATGGTTAATCCCAGCAGCAATATCGATAATTGGTGTTATGTCTCTATCTGTTGTTTATATTACTAAAGAAGCCATAGATTATTTACCCATTTACCATTCATCTAAATATAGATATTTCTGCTTTCTTTATTAGTAATGGCTTACTTCATTTCTTTCTTCTTTGTAAATTCACAAGCAATTGTCAAGTACCAATAAATACATAAGGAGCAAATTCTTTTTTTCAAAATATTTCTGATTGTGGATTTAACGTAAATTAGTTTCATAAATAATTTTTAATGTAATAGTAATAGTTGTAGATCATCAACCAACATGGAATGGTTTAAAAAAATTTTAAAAGGAAACAAAAAAAATTTATCCGTTTTAATTATACTTCTATCTCCTTCTTCTTTATACTAATTAAAAAAATATGAAAAAAGGAGTAAAAGATATCACTATTCCATCATCATTTTCAAATGATGATTTATTATTATTATCTAATAATAGAAATGATAATGATGATAACAAAGAAGATTTTATGTCATTTGGTTACCAGCAATTATCACAAGATGACCATAATGAGATTAATGATAGTGATGACGATACTAATAATAGTGAAGGTGATATTAATAATGATGAAGGTGATAGTAATGAATTGGTGAGCAATTGTTTACTTTAAAATAAAGATACTTGATAAAGAAAATAATAATAATTGATTTTTAGAGATCTGATACTGATAATGATGATAAAACATTTTCACCAAAATTAAAAATTTACACAAATGATGAGGACAAAATATCAAATGGTAAATTATTACAGTATTATAATTATGATTAAAAATATTATTTATCGCACATATATTTAATATTTAATTATTTATCTATTTATCTATTTAGATAATCTGGAGGCAATTAATTCAATAATGAAAAATATTAAACTTCCAGAATCTTCCGTGCCCGGTAATAATAATAGTATTTCATTAATATACAAATATTTTATAAATATTTATTTGCTCATTTTTCATTCATTTACAAGAATGGGCAAAAGTAATACCAGAAGAAGCCTGGTTACCAATTGTAATCAATAAATCTGAGTACATAAGCCCCAATCCCAACCCCAAACCTAATCTCTACTGATGTTTCAAGGTCTATTACAATTTAGGTTTACTTCTAGAAACGGTAGCAATAATTAATCCTAAAAAAAAAAATTATTTATTTGTTTGTTTATCCATTTATTTAATGAATACCAAATAACAACAATAATCAATTAATGGTGATTACCTGATGGGTCACTGTTTGGGGAGTAGATATCAGTATCTTTACCAGTATTTTTCAAATTAAATCTTTCCAAATTATAAGCAAAATAATGTTTGTTTGGTAATTCATAATGAATGCTTCCTATTTCTAAATGTTTCTCCAATGCTAATTTTGCCATAAGATATAATGTCGCTTGCACCGATGCACTATAATCTTTGGCAAATGTTGATAAAGTTATTCCACGTATCGATTCATAAATATTATCAAATGGAATTTTGTTTTTGGTTGTAATATTTAAATATTTCCAATTTGAATCTATACTTGTTGATAAAATACGATCATTGGTTTCTTCAAGTGTCGTATCTACAAAAAAATCAATTGTTACGTAATTTAAAAAACTAAATAATTATTACACAATTAACATTACATTTATTAATTACATTTATCCTTTAAAAATCCATAAAAAGCAGATTCAGTAGTTTTCAACACCAATAAATTACTAAATCCAGCTTCAATATTAACAACAAATGATGATGATGATGGTGGTGATGACGAATTTGTGTTTGAACGTGATCCTCGTTCAACAAAAACTTTTGCATGTCGTAATTCCTCCCCATCTCTAATAAACGAATGTTGATGTAATTTCCCATCAACCATCATTCTACTCCATCGATGTTTAACCAACAATACTTTAACTTTGGTGACATGAGAATAGGTTTTGAGAAAATGTTCCCCTATTTCAATTCCAAATTCTTCTATAATTTGTACATTGTTTGATTGTTTTGCAAGTATGTAAATTGTATTTTTTATTGTGTCTGTTGGAATAATCTTGGAATTGTCAGCCTCTGTATACGAGTGTTCGAAATCTCCTTGTAACAAAACACGCACCTAAACACATATTAACAAATAAATAAATAAATAATTAAATAAATAAAATAACTAACACAATTTTTTTATTTATTGTCTAATAATAAATCTTACAGTCAATTCTACAATTTCATGCCATTTTCCTGTTTTAATAACTTTTGCCAACCGAACACGATCTTTTCCATAACTTTGTTCCTTAAGGTAAACTTCTGTCATTATTTTTTTTTATAATTATTATTTTAGACTGGACCGGAAATCCATTCCTAACTGATATTAGGTGAAGATCTATAAATAAAACATTTAATATTCGAATCGTATGATTTTTTGATTCACTAGATTCACTAATTACTTGCCACATTTAGTAAGTTTATGCTTAAATATTTTTTTAAGATGAATGATTAATATATTAAATATGAATATGGATGGATTAAATGTTAAGAAATGAATGGAATCTTGGTTTTTTTATTTTTTTCAAGAAAAAATTTTTGGTTATTGCGAAAACAATACCTTTTAATTAATAATAATAATAACAACAATCAAACTTGAGTTGAGGGTATTTTTTCAGTTAACAAAATACGCCGCCGATAACAACATCAACAATAATTAAAATGGTAGCGGCCATGATATCACATTTTCCAAGTTTTTCGACCTTTTTAATTTCAATCTTTTTTTCCCAAGGTAAACAAATAAACCATCAATCAATCAAATCATAACAAAAAATATTACTATCATCATCATTAATAATAAATTTGTTTTACTAGTGATCACATCGGTATATTATGCATATAATGTATTTGGTTTTTTACAAATGTCATTACGTGGAGAAGATTTCTTGACCCCGAAAAGAAAAGAATTACTTGGTTACGAAGTTCCACAATCTGGTGCTCTGGTATTATCATCATCATCATTATTTAATTATTAATTCTTGATAATATTAAAAGATTAATTTATATTACATATTTATATAGGCAAGCTTATTATCCACATTAATGTTAACTCAATTAATATTTATGATTCATTCAATTAATCAAATTGATGATGGTTTGACGGTCGTAATTATTAGTTTGGTCCTTTGGTTAGGTAAAATTATTATATTTTTTTAAAATATTTGTGGGTCTTTTCTTCTAAATCTCATCTAATCTTCCTTCTCTTCTAATTTCAGTTTCAAGCGTATTGATGTTTACACGTTACATCACTTACAGTATGCCAGCAAAATTATATTTAATTGATACAATACACGATGCTTTACAATTGATTGCATTAGGAATTATTGTTTTTTATTTTCATTAAAAAATATTTTTTTACAATTATGAATTAAATACCGCTGATTTTTTTTTTAAATTTGACGTTTAATACTTTTTTTCTTGACGTTTGCAGGTTTTGATTTGTTCGCTTGTTCAATGCTACTCCAATCACCCCATGTTGGTGGTTTCCATGAATCATCTTCTTCATTTGTATGGTCGTATTCATAACGATAATGACGAAACTCGACAGGTACACTTTTGAAAAATGTATCGGTATTTGCCCATTCAATAGGAACATCTTTACATTCTCTCCAAAAACCCAATGCCAATTTTGTTAAATCATCAAACGCTTGTGCACTCAGTCTGAACTTATCTTCAAATGTTTCTGACATACAAGGAATTATTTCTTGTACTGGTACCATTGGACAAGGTGGTGAAAAATCAGCATTTGGATTTGGAATGTATGGACTTGGTGGTACATCATCATCATAATAATTAAAATTAGGCACTCTTCGACGATATGCTCTATTATTGTTGCTGTTGTTAATATTATTGTATCTACTACGATTATTCTTTACTCTTCTTGCTCCGGTAACACCAGCAACGCCACTATTACCACTACCGCTACTACTACTAGAACTAGCACTACTAACATAATAATTTTGACCAACGTTCACTCCTAAATCATCATCGTTGTCTGTAGAATCTTGTCGTAAATTAAAGGTGTGATGATCTTGATCATAGTTTCTTTCGTTAGGATAGTTTTGATTGTTATTATTATTATATTTACTACGACTCCTTGGATTATTATAACTATTATTGTTATTATTACTGATGTTTTTTTTAGGTTTTATTAATCTTGGAGCCTCCACAAATACATGCTTCTCTTCAACAACTTTAGAAAAATGCCATTCACTGTCACTAAGGTAATCACCCTTCATTTTTTATTGTAATTATTATTAAATAAATATATGTAAATTTAAATAATTTATTTGAGATATATGAAATAATTATTAATTTTTTTTTCTAGTCCCAAAACATCCGAAACAATTTTGTCACATGACAATCTGCATATATAATCAACTATCTTATGTATTTTACTGCGCACAAGAAAAATAAAAATTACAAAACAAGCAGAATGCTGGCAGATTATTTTATAAATTGTAAATCGAGATCCTAAATTAGAAAATATAATAAAGTTGAACATTATTTTATCCATATTAATACTTGAACACATGATATGTATATATATTAATATATATATATATGGGTGATGTAATGTTCATTTTGTCTACAGCATATATGCACACAACACATAAATTTTTTGTTTAATTGGATTTCAAATGGGGCAGATTGCAACAAAATCAGACAAATTAATCTTGAACATTATGTCATAAAGACATTGCACTATCAATAAAATGCATTATTTTTGTTTCTACATTTGAAAACACAATAAACATTTTTATTATGTTATCACAACTTGTTAAAAACTTGACAATTTGGCTTAATCATTTGAAAATTTTCAAATATTTTTGATTTGAATTTTAAAGGAAATAATTATCACTTAATATATACAAAGGTGATTGTGATAATAAATTTTGAAATTTTTCTTTGCATTTTGCATTTATTCAGTTATCTTTGGTGATCTGCAAAATTGCCAACACTGATCTTGTATTTGAATTAGAGGATGCTAAAAAACAATTAATGCAGTCAGAAAAACAACAAATATATTACATCAACATCATAAAGGATTATGAGCAAATAATGGAATCTCAAAATGAACAATTAATGTCAGAAAATAATGATTTGAAAGAAAAATGGAACAAAAAATTTGATGATCAAGCAATAAGAATTGAATATATTGTAGAAATTGTTAAACATGAATGTAAAAATATATGGGTTCCATGCTAGCAAAAAGGACCTTCGGGCTCAAGAACTCCAAAATGAGTTATTGACACTGTTATATTCTTTGAAATGATGATTATAATTTGACATAATTTTTGTCAACATTTAATTAATAGAAAAGTGAAGTGTACAATTTTTTTACAAAAATTTATTGAATTTTGATCCCCAAAATTGTATAATGACAAAAAAGGAAATTTTAATCTTACAATTTTTATTATTATTATTTTAAAAACAAATTTTGTTTTTAATTAATCTCCATTTCATTAGAATCAGGATTTGAAAAATGAACATCCTTATGAGGTTCCTCTACAAAATTCCTAATTTTTTTGTATAAATATAATTTTCTTTCCAAATCTATATTAATTGGAATAATATTAATGGGTTCATTATGACTAAAGTTATTATCTTTTAAAAGATTAAACCATTTTTCCTCACCACCAGATTTTGCTGAAACAAATACTTTTCCTTTGTTTTCAGGCAGATTATTAAATCTAAAATGATGATATTGCTTTATATTAGGTAAAGTTTTAAATTTTTTTTCAAATAATTCTAAACCATTTTTATATTGTATTGATTCATTTCCTTCTGAAGAATTATTAATAATATTTTCAATGTCTTTAATTTGATTAACTTTACTATTTCTATATAATTTTTTTATGTGTCCAAAAAAAGAATCACATATAAATTTTGTATGTCCTGGAATCATAAAATTAATTGTAATTTCCTCATACCAACCCAACATTATTATAAGTCCAAAACCAAAGAGATAAGTTATTTTTATTTTGTTCAGAGCAATTATCACAAGTTATATGTAATTTTTTTTTACCATTCTTTGCAAATATTTGCAGAACCTGATAAACTAAATTTAAAGTAGTATTTGCTCCTGTGCCTTTCGGAAGTTCATCTTCTATTAAAAAATTTAATTGTTTATTTATTCCTCTCTCAGTTTTACAAACTCCGAATAAGTGAACAGCATAACCTGATAAAAAATACAATGGTCCTGCTTGCTGAAGTGGATAAGAAATGGTGACATTTTGTGCCCAATCATAACTAAGGTTGTGGGTGAAACTCCCCCCAGAAATCAATTTACAGAGTTTTGACAGGTTATACATTAATTGTTAATTAGAGTTTCAGCAGAGTTTCACATTTGGGGGTTTTGTCAATTGTCAGAGTTTTGACAAGGTATATACTAATTGTTCATTAGAGTTTCAACAGTCACTAAGAGGTTTTGGCAAGCAACCTCAATCATAACAAATATGTGCAATTGACAAATCACTTTTACTTAATTCAATATTATTATTATAATAATCACATTCTAGGTTTGCCATTTTTTTATGTTCATTAAATTCAGCTTCAACATTATTATATTTGTCAATATTTCTTTTTGTTAATTGCAATTTTGATTTAAATTGGACACAATTATCACATAAATCACTTGCAAGAGGTTGAAATTTTAAATTAGGCATTAGTTCATTCCATAATCTTCTAAAAGAATCATAAGAAAGAATTTTTTCTTCTAAATCATTTTCAGATTCAATTTTCAAAATATTTTCTAAATAAAATTTTTTAAATTCTTTACACACAGATATAAATCTTTTATCAGTAAGAAGATAAATAAATGCTCCAGAATCATTTCTATGCCTCATTAGTGAAGGTTATTCATGTATTAAAGAATATTGATTTAGAAAATTTTTTACAATGAATTTTAAATTTTCATCAATATTGACTTTAGTTTTATATATAGGAGCTCTTCCTGTGTTCCATGAATTCATTCATTTATTCCTTCATTGTGTAAATATTCTACAATATTTTTAATTTTATGATTGCTTATATTATATAACATTAAAAATGCTGTTTGGCAAAGAGAGTATGTTGAATTAAAGCAAAATCTATAATTTGTTTCTGAATAATTTTTTCAGAAGACTTTTAAATTTTTGTTTTCTATTTCCATTAAAGACTAGTGCTGTAAATTATGATGATGGGTAGTAATTGTATTTATGGCATATAAAAAGTGGTTGAATTATCTTTGCAACCACTTTTGCAACCATACTTTTTCCTTTTTTGGAT